CATATACACTTGTAATCATGTTTATCTATCTGCACACTACTGATTATTAATAGCAACCTGCACATATATTCATATATTGTAAATCTGTTCATAGCTTATCCAACCTGTATATAATGTTCATAGTACATCCATCTGTAAATATCACCATAGTTTTCTATAACTGCACTTTATAACTTATTCCTGTATCCTGCACTTGCTGCTATTGCACTGCTGGTTAGACCTAAACTGCATTTCGTTGTACTTGTACATGTGTAATGACAATAAAGTTGAATCTAATCTAATCTAATCTATTAATAACTTAACCAGTTGGGTTAAAAGTTTTGAATTTCAACAGTCAACTAAATTAACTGACACAGAACAGCTATATTAATATGCGGACGTAATGTACATTTCATACATAGTGGCAATTCATAAACAGCAATAAAAGAAACAAGTATAAAAAAATATAGACAAATAGCATAAAAAAAGGTGAAAATGTATTAAAACAGGTTTTAATAGAACGAAAACGAAGAGAAAGACACAATAATGCGATCTGTCGGACACAGCACAATACTCATTCAGTAATGGCACAGCTATACAGATGCGTTTTCAGTCTTGATTTCAACCCTCTCAGGCTCAAATTAAGTTTTAGAAACAGGAAAAATCTGATATTTGGGGAAAATTATCATATGTGGTGGTACAATAGAATCCTGACTTTTTTTAGAGAGAGACCTTCACATGCAAGGCACTCTGGGATGTTGCAGATTTGCAACATTGGCCCAGTGTGGTAATTAGACACTGACGACTGAATATGATATGAACAATAACTTTTTATAAACAACTTTTCAAACGATGTAACAAATTGCTTTTCAGTGGCAGAACAACAACGAAAACAATATGGGATCCAAATCCAATATCTCAAATCCTCATTGAGTAGGTCACGTTTCCAGCTCACTTTGTCATGTGGTAATGTCTTTTGTAGATATTTTTTTTTGTCTTTTGTGATTGTTTGTTGCTAATGGACAACCAAGTCCTGCAGTGGTACTTCTGAGTTAAAAAAAAAAACTCATAAAATATGTATCTGAAGTAATAAGGTAGTTAATTTTGAACTGTTGCAAATCAGCAACGCCTGCCTTGAGAGGGTTAATGTACCAAATGTTGGAGCACATCTGATAATTTCTAAAAGCTGATTCCAGCAGCAGATGGCATATAGCTGAGGGCCGACTCACCCTGCTTTGACTGAACTCTTGGAATTTCTAGTTTATATGATCCTAAAGATCTGAGTGATCTCTTAGATTTGTAGGTCCTAGGCCATTTGGTGATTTAAAGACAAGTAATAATACATTCAAATCTATTCTGAATGTAGCTGGGAGCCATAAAGACCTGAGGACAGGTGTGATGTGCTCTGATTTCCGGGCTCTGGTCAGAATCCTGGCTGCAGCATTCTGAATTAGCTGCAACTGTCTGACTGTCTTTTTGGGAAGGCCAGTGAGGAGGCCGGTACAGTAATCCACCCTGCTGCTGATAAAAGCATGAACAAGTTTCACTAAGTCTTCACTGAAAACAAAACATCTAATTCTTGCAATGTTTTTGAGATGATAGTATGTGGATTTAGTTACTGCTTTGAAATGACTATTGAAGCTCAGATCTGACTTCAGAGTCACACCAAGATTCTTGACCTTATTTTTTGCTTTTTGACCCTTAGATCCAAGGTACGCATTCACCTTGAGAACCTCATCTCTGTTCCCAAACGCAATGACTTCAGTTTCCTCTTTGTTTGACTTAAGAAAGTTTCGGCACATCCAGTTGTTAATTTCATCAATGCATTGGCAGAGGGTGTCAATAGGGCTGTAGTCATTAGGCAGTAAGGCTAAGTAGATCTGAGTGTCATCAGCATAGCTGTGGTAGGAGATTTGGTTCTTCCTCTTTATTCAGCTCAGCGGGAGCATATAAAGGCTGAACTGAAGATGTGCCAGAATTGAGCCTTGTGGGACTCCACAAGTGTCCACATCGACCCATGGTCACCTATACTGACATAGCCAATCTATATTAAACGGATAAAAACGTAAGTGTCTGGAACTTGAAATGTAGTGGAAATAAAGCATTGAAAACTGCATAATATTTATTTTACACAGCTGTAATTATGAAATTAATAGTAGCAGTAATAATCGCGATAGTAATTAAAATTTTAATCAAAATAACCTAATGCATTGGGTTAAAATAACCCATAGTTGGGAAGGTGCTATAATAACCTATAGTTGGGTTATATGTTGGGGTATTTTTAACCCGACTATATTAACTGAGCATTGATTACATTAGCGAGTCATTGTTCATTAACCAGTTAAACTCTTCTGCTATTTTAGGATTTCCGCCTGGATTTTGCCTACCCAAATTTAAAAGCTTCCTAAATCCACATGCAGAGGTGTAAATGCAAAGATTTGGTATCATTTTAAAGAAAAACCTTTGTATTTTGATAAAACACTATTGAAAGTGTTTAAAATAACTATATGTTGTCTGTGTT